AGGCGGTGTTCCAGGTGCAGGCGGTGTTCCGGGAGCAGGCGGTGTTCCGGGAGCAGGCGGTGTTCCGGGAGTAGGTGTAGCAGTCGGTGCCCCAGGAGCAGGTGCGACACCAGGTGGAGCAGTTCCGAGCAAAACACCACCAGCAACTCGCATAACAACACCGGTGCCGCAGCCAGGAGCACAGCCGGGTGTTCCTAAGCAGTGAGTGAGTCAACCAGGAATGCTGTCGGATTGCTGGAACAACTTCGAGCCACTGAAGAACTGGAAGAAATACTAGAAAAGTGTATTTCCTTTTAATTTTTGCACGTTTCACTTAGTTGTTATGCATATTGATACATAAATGTGTATTACAAATCTGAACCACACATCGTCATTGCATGTGAACTCAGTGCAGACGCAGTTTGATAACAGAAGTTTGTTCAAAGTACCCTGTTACTGCAAAGTATTTCTTTTAAAAAAAGCACATAGCAATCAAGGTGCGCTTCAACAGTTGCCGACTGACGTACCCAGCATCACATTTTAACATCGTCAGAGAATTTAGTTTAATAACTTTGATCTTTCTAGCAATGTAACTCGGTAGTGAACGAATGAAAGTCAATAAACAATTCCTTTTCAATCGCTTACCCAAAATTACAGGTTCCGTTGCGTCATCTGACACTCCATGTAATGCCGATAAACGGACGGGGAACTGTTAAGGTTATGAAAATAAAGAAATTAGTGCTGAAAGCAGAAAATAGAATTAAAATCCTGAACAGCAATATTTCGGTTCATCAAGACTTAAACAATCGTATTCAGGGCAGCAGCTGGAATTCATTATTACAGTGTGATATTATCGGTTTATAAAACAGGCTGGAACGCACCAGGCGGGTTTGCCGGTACGATCATGCGTTTTTGCATCAAACTTGAAGTAAATCAGCTCGTTAACTGCATGAATGGTTCTTGCTTTAAGCCTACCTTGTGCGTAAATCATCGCAAATTTTACATAAAGAAAAATGAAAAGATGTAGTTTAGTGGTCTTCTCTTGGAATTACCCAGCTGTTCAGTGAGCAGTTTTCCCGCCAAAACTTCTAAGTGACCCTATGCGAGAACCACGCATGCCTGGGGGCTGAATTCGAAATCTTTAAGATGTACTTGAATAGAGGATATTCGTAAAAACATTTCAACTTTTTGCACGTACCAAAGTGCAAAGCAGCGAAAATCCTTGGCACGCAAACGCGTGCCGAATAAAACTGAGCAAAACGCATGACCATACCCGCTTCCTTCGTGCGCGTCCTATTTATTTCTTGTTTTACTGTTTTCCCGCCTTCCTGGAGCGTCACACATTCCCCACTGTGCATTTTGCTACAGCTTAAATGGACAGATCTTCTTACTTTTTAGTTCTAGCTCTACTAATTATCTGCAAAACCAATTCTCGCCTGCTCCTGTATAAGCTATCCTTTTGTTCCCGTTCCATCTAACTTAATTCATCCAGAAAAAGCCCCAAGCGCGTGAAAATTTACATTGAATACGTGGTATCAAACGCGTGGGAATACGCACTAATTCGTTTTGGATTCAACTAAATGTCGGTTTCTGCACTGAACGCCTCGAGTGTTCTAGTAGACAACATGAGAAAAGACCAATTAAAAGTTTTACATTGACTTTTTTTGTAAGCACCACGTAGTCCAGGTATTTTTCGGTAATAAATAATGTAGTAAAACTTAGTCGAGTGAGCACTGTTTTATTAGCAACTTACAAACTGGAACTGCAAAAATCAATATATAACAAGAGAAACCTTACAGCGCGAAAAACAGTGTGAGATCACCGGCGAATTTTGCCTCAAGACAAAATTTACGAACGCATGTGCATTACTGGATAAAATATCTGATATCACTTCCAAGTTCAGGCACTGAAATATCCATCCATTACTTTTCGGGATCTGAGTCACTATCCGACGACTCGGAACTGGAACTGGAATCGCTGCTTGAGGTCGATGATGATGATGACGATGATGATGATATATCGGTATCTGAATCACCCGCGCGAACTTTCTTTTCTCTCTCGGTTTCCTCTTCTTCATTCATATTCCTATCCATATCTCTCTCAACTTCTGCACTAGCAGCAGCCTGCGCAAGTTTCCAGCGACGAGCAGCTTCGAACAATTTCAAACTTCCCACTGACGCTGCAATATTACCGCTCAGTATTACATTTATTATCTGCCGATTCTAAAAAATGATTAAAACCTTGCGATATTAGCAGTACCGGTTGATGACTATGAAGCAGTGCATTAACAATATCCAGGTCACCCGGGATGAGGATCAGGAGCACCAATGTAACTCCAAACGGGCACAAATCCCTTAACTGCATGCACAGGCGGATTCAAGACGGACTCTTGGGAAGGAGGAGGGGAAGGAGCGGGAGGGAAACGAGGGGTAGGGAGGAGAGCCTCCTCCCACCGTAGAACCATACAACAACGAGAAACGGAGTTGTAATACTGCTACTTAGAGTTACCTTAAGCTTTAGTTTTAGGTCTTACGGACTTCTGCAACACTGGTGCCTGTGCCGTTGGGAGGGAAGGGGGACAAAAGATGATAGACCTCCTAACCTCCCCCACCCAGGACCTGCCTACGACTGCATTTCTTCGGCTAATATTCGCCATATATAACGTCTGTACGCTTCATTTTTTCATAGCCCATCCATAAAAGTGCTCTTTTCACGGTTGTCATTCACTGATAAGCTAATTTGTCTGTTATCAGCTACTATAACATCCTTGCAAAGACTAAGGTCTACTACTATAACAACAATACACTCAGTAACTATTAGTGTGAACCAATTTTCGAACTTCTAATTACCTTGATCATCAGGAAAAACGTAATCAAAATATTCTTCCCAGCCAGCGTCTACGCCATCCTCGTTCAGGATTTCACGACGCTTCTTCACTTTCTTTGGCATTAAACGCGTAACCTGGAAAAATTCATTGTGATAGTAGGTTCCGGACACGGAATATAAACCTGAAAGTCGTTCCAGTGCAAAAAAATATGGGGAAAAGAACATACAGCAGCCACGGATTTTTCATCGCCGTGCTTGGTTTCAAACTGCATCCACGACTCCAACAGCAGCACTTTTGCTTCCTTCTCCTTGTTCGTTAATGTCCTATTTGCTCGTTCGTATACTTCGCGCGCCGCTTGTACATTACGCATTTTCATTTCAAATTCTGCTAAGCTTATCCAAACCTGTAAAACAGCACGATAGAAGGCTACCCCGTTGATAACTACGAAGTCCACAACGCAAAAGTAAAGATAATACTCGCTCTGTTTTCTTCGCAGAAAGTATCAATGTCGTTTGTGCATGAGAAAAAAACAAAATATGCCAAACTTCCAAGAACAAAAATCCCTCCTTACCTTTAATTCTGCCACTGTGCCCTCAAACTATTTCAAGTTCTTCAGTCTTGGTAACTTAAGTGAACGTAAAAGCATAAAAGCGAAACGAAAGTCAGCAAAACAAAGCAAATTTGTTCGTGTGTCTATTTTTAAAATCTGCGTTCCGATGCATTTGTGTGGGGGTTTAAACTCCAAAAACAAAAATTTTTCTAAATTCCTCTCTTTACAAGAGGTTTTAGCGCTCATAAAGAGATCATAAGTTCTGTTAAATTCGAACCGAGTGAATGACCTATAAGGGAACGGATTTGTATGGATCAAAGCCAAAAACAATATTACTGTTAGCAGTGAAATCAATATTATTATTGTAAAAAAAGACCAGCAGAATGTGAGATCTCAACCTTGACGTGATTGGTTCGGTCCAGAAGGCTTTCGTAAAGCTGACGTGCCCGGTGATATTCTTCTTGACCAATTTCGAAATCAATGAAGGCTTTCCATAAAACCTGCAAGCTCTCTAAATAAGAACATGTCATAACACTGTACTGTGTTGCCCATCTCCACATGTGAGTTTCGCAGACATTTTTACCGCAACATTCATTTTTTTTTTCTTTCGTTTTATCCATTTTTGACACAGTTGTTTCTTACACACATTCCTCTATGACTGACAGTTTATGAAAAAGAAGATATGACAGTCTCCGTTAACAAGATGCAGCACTACAAAACTAACAGTGAAGAATGCAATACATCTAAAAATGAACGCCAGGATCAGAAGTAATTTAAGCATCGAAGATAAAGCTACGGCCATGGCAATCATGGAGAAATTAGCAACTGCACTGAGGATAACCTATTAAAATACAAGAAGCACCGTAAATTTGCAGCCTCATTTATGATACTTGGAAATTTAAGATTTACGCAAGATGTCGTTCACTACTTTTAGCCCACGCCCTATCTGTAGCCGAACGCGGTGAGTTAAAGCATAACAAAGTGCTTTCAAAATTTCGATGGACAGCAATGGAAACATAAAACATACTTCCGGCATATCCAAGGCAGGTTGCTTCACGGCCAGAGCAAGAATTGCGCGGGCGCGCTCAACATCACCTAAAATTGTCTCCATTTCCGCGAACTTAATCCACGTACTGCTATTTTCCGGAGCGAATTCCAGAAATTTGCCGTATAATATCCTGCACCGATCGAATTCACGTAATTGCAGCTCAAGGTCAATGTAGCCGCGGAAAAGTTTACTTCGTGGACACATCCCAATTGCATTGCCCTGCAATTTTCCATAGCGAATTCTTGCGAATAAGTTGGAAAAAAAAAATCGATAAATGCACCGACTCAAGTTCTCCTCACGCACTCAGAGTATGTTGGCTTCTTGGGTGCTAGCTTATTCCTGAACTTCATCCAGGGTAGTTGGATTAAAGAACTG